AACTTGATCAGAGAAAATCTATCTCCTTCCATAGATTTGGAAGGTTGGATGAAGTGCATGAAGTTCACTATTCAAGATCAGGTGTGAATTTGCATCACATAATTCAGCAATTGCCAATGGCAAAGCAACCATCATAATTTTCTCTGCGATGCTGCTTTAGAGCTGGCGAGGACGGTAATTGGGTGTGTTTCACTAACGTGATTTCGTCTGGGGGTTTAGTTTGGAGAGATCAGGCATTTCATAGTAACAATGAAGATGAAGACAGTTAGAATCGACCTCTTTGCATTGTTTATGTTCAAGACTTCAAGATTCCAATTCTCTCCTTTAAATGCTATCGTTTATGCATTTTTCTTTTTTATAATTTAGACATATTTTTATTATTTAAAGAACTTTGTTCACACAAGCCTCCTACTTGTAACCAAGTAAAAACTTCATAATAATAATAATTTCATGCATATAATATACTAATTAATGCTATCAAGACATTTAAAGAACTTTGTTTCACACAAGCCTCCTATTTTGTTATTTAAAGAATTTTGTTCAACCTAAAATGACCTTATAAAGTTATTGATTTTGCCTTTGAAGTATGTAACTTCATTTAAACTATGATCAAAACTTTCATAGTATCATTAAGTTCATCTTATTAAATATTATTGTTTGGATTATAAAATGTTAATAATGAAGTTTGTATGAACAAGATATCAATTGCTAAAATTTTAAATTTAAATACTCAAATGCTTGAAAGGATATTATAGAGTTACAAGGGCTATATGAAAAGATATACTCCACATCATGAAATCTAAAATATGTTTATTTGCCTCTTATTTATAGGGTTAAGAGAGACATATGAAAGGATGCACATAAAATAAATAGAAAAAATTACATGATATGACAAATACAAATTGACATAGACATATGAACTAGCTTGAGGATGTACACGTGGATATCTATCTAACATGTAGTCCCCTCCTCTGAGTGAACACCTTTTGAGAGTCTTCAAGAGTGAGTACCTTGGGAATCTAGCATATAGGGTGAGTATATGAGAATAAGTCCTTAGAAATGAGAGTTGAATCCATAGTAACAAGAAATGAGTACTTAGGAATGAGGAGTGAGACCACTAGGTGGAAGAGGTTGTGAGTCAAAGAAAAATTCAGCTAGTAAAGTCATGGTCAAGGGCTCCATAGGTGTGCACTTCCTAGCTTGATCTAGGACATTTGCGATATGCAACTTGACTTGATTGAAAACAACTATTATGGGTTAGTGGGTTTTATTACGACAAGTGCCCCTTAGGGTAGAAATTGATCTCTTGTCTTTAGGACTTCCATCATTGAGTATTCAGATGCCTTTAGGTATTTAGAATAATTAAACAATCACAACAATGGTTTTTATAATTTGACCTCAATCATTACTACAAACATTTATGTTTATCAAACTAATGGATGATAGACTAACATGTGACCATTGGATGCATGCGAACTCTAATCTTGTACATAATAGCACAAAGAAATCAACACCATCATTATGGTCAATTCATATTATATGACCTTTATTCTTATAATAACAAGTAAAAACTAATTTACCATTGCAGTGTTAAGCAAATCAGTTAGAAGAATAAAAAATATAGGTCTTTTATTCATTGTTGTGAGAAATATCACTGTGGCCATATTTGAAAGTAAGTCTAAATTGCTTGTACTAACAGAGATTAATGCTGATCAGAATCAATCATTTGAGCATCTGGAGAAAATTGTTAGGAAGTTTGGACATCCTCTAACAAATTAACAGAGATAAGATTCAATGCATTTACATGATATAGCACCAAAACAAATATAAGAGATTCAAAAATCTTTTTAAAATCTAACCCTATACTAATTCCCATGCTTGTAGGCATACTAGCATTATATGTTCATACATTAAAACCAAAATAAAATAGAGAAACAATTTTTGGCTACCAAAGCATGGTTGAATCATTATTTATCAAACTCATGCAATATTTTTCTAGCTATCTCTATGGAGTAAGGATAAGGAGCATAGTGTTGATTCTGTATAGGTTTTTAAACCTAAGCAATTATCTCAATGCTAATCAAGAGGGGGTGAATTGTTAATTAAAATGATTTTTAAATATAAAACCATTTATCAAATTTCCAAATTTAATTATCTTTTGAAATGAGCTTTTTTCAACCACAATAATAAAATTTCAAAAAATAAAAATACAAAAAATAAAATGACATAAAGATTTATAGTGATTCGATCAAACACGACCTACATCCACTCACCGAAGACTCCCTCTTTAGGTATTGCACTATTACCAAAGTGACTATTCTTTTGCTCCCACAGCATGATAAAGAAGCCTTTATAATTCCTCTCTTCCACCAATCCCAGGTACGATAGAGAACCATCATCCTTTCACACTATCCCAGTGTTGGTAGAGAACTGTCATATATTCACACTCTCAAAGTGTCTGCAGAGAACCGTCATCCTTTCACACCCTCCAAGTGTCGGTAGAGTACCGCCATTCTTTCATACCCTCCAAGTGTTGACAGAGTACCATATCTTCTTCAAAGATCTTCTCTGGGTAACTAGAAAGAAGAAAAGAATAGTAGTAACCAAAAACACAAAGAGATCCTTACATTTTAATAACCTTATGAACCATTCACACTCCATTTACAAGAAATCTCTCTCAAACACTCTCCCAAATACACTTTTTCACTTGCTCTTAAAAACATCATGAAGAACAACATTTTTCACATAAGTTTTTAAGGATCTTTTATATGAAAAACACGAAAAATCATCCAAAAAACTTAAATTTTTCATTTTGGGCATACATGATCGTATAGTACGATCGATGTTCATCCCAAACAAACAGTTCAAAATTGTTTGGTATGATCTTGTACGAATTATTTTTGTACAAACATATCATCCCGTATGATATGCATATCATACAGTACGAACAGTAATAAAAAAATCCACATTCGTCTGGATGAAAACGTTTCCCATAATTTCATACTTTGGACATCATCTATATCGTCCCGGATGAATAGTTCAAAAATTTTCATGTTCGACTGGACAAAAATGTTCCCCACATTTTCGTACTCTAGATGTCATCTATACAAATGACATTTTGTCCCAGACGAACACTTCAAAAGATTTATATGTTCGTTTGGACAAAAATGTTCCCCGCATTTTCGTACTATGTACGTCGTCTGTATGAAGACAACTTCGTACAGTACAAACAGTACTTAGAAAAATTTTCACCGATGTTTTGATTAACTGCTCGCTAGAAGAAATAATCTGATCAAATCGTCCAGTACGAACCAAAATTATACAATACGATTAGTTTAAAAAGTTATAGCTTTTAAACACTCCTCCAATATGTGTGTGTGTGTACGATTACTCAATTACAATCTCACTCTCTCATACTCAATAAAAAGATAAAGTACATACTCCAATTATAATGAAACTTAATCTAATCTGATTTGAAGTTTTCAATAATCATGAGTATGATTTTCCTGAAATATTAGTACACACAAACAACCAAAACAATATATCCAAAACATGTTAGGAGAAACTGTAATTAAAATAATAATATTTGAAATCATCAAAAATATATATGATACAAGAATCTAAACAATCGAAGAATTAAATGACAACAATCTCAACACATAGAGATCACTTGCAAACCAAATTCTACAATCTAGATTGCTTAGCATCTTTAAATCAGTGCTCTACCTTTGTTCTTGACCATGAACAAATGTTAAGGGGGTAATTGTATGTGTTAACATATATAAACCCTTCAAACAATACTTTTGGCAAACTCTCTGTGCATCATTAAAGCATTATGTATCTCTATATGAGGCACCACTTTTCAATGTCTAGTTATTTATTTTGAAATATTTGAAATTCATGTGATGAAAATAAAGCATATATTGCTTGATATAAAAAAAAAAGATAAAATGATTCATCTCAAGAAGAGTAACGAATAAGCATCTTTTTAAGAAATGGGTAAATGAAATAAGTTTTTCAAAAAATTGTGATAGTACCTTAATTGACAAATAGTTCTAGATTATCACTAAAGAGTAAATAGTTCTTTAAAATTTATTAAAGGGAAAATCAAGTGAATTGACCTCCAGCAATCATTCTCAAACCTAGGACCTCCATATTAAACAACTGATAACCTGAACATAGCTTTATCCATATATATTCAACTTTCCAACATAGGACAATTTGCAAAACTTTTAACACTAAGAAGCTCAATAAAATATTAGCTATATATAATGTTAAAACTATCATCTAACTCTTGCTAGCACATTGTCAGACATGTATAGGTTCTTGAAAATTTTCAAAAAAAAATCATGTAAAGAGAATATTGTTAATTTGTCTAAAAGATAGATGATCGAGTAAAAATTAACCTAAGTCTTAGTTTGGATCTAAGTCAAAATAGAATAACAAGCAAAATTAAAAAATTTAAAAATGTATATGCATGTATGCATGAATACTTATACACATCCAATTACGAATGTATTTATATTTGAATTAGATGCAAAGAAAAAACATGCAAATGGGCCCGTGCACACATAGACACACACACACCTACATATACATCACATGTAGGAGATAGACTTTTATCCATTTATAATGATGGAGCCACTTAATCTTAGGCATTTTTAAAATCCATCACATATTTTAAATGTTATGATTTAGAGTTTTTAGTTATTTCTTATTTAACCAATGACTTTTAACTATGTTAATCTTAGTCCTTCAAAAATTATGAAGAATATTGAAAGATGTGTGAGAATAAACTACTCTTTTTTTTTTCTTAATGTATGGTTGCCTAAGTCTCTATATTTATCTATCTATTTATCTACATGTATGTTAATATGCCTATGTTTATTGGAGCATGTATATCTATTGAATTAAGAATTTGTCTTTAAAACTAAAATTTTGTCAAAATCAAATCAAATTTTAGCTTGAATGAAGTTTAATAAACATCAATAAAAAACACA